GCCACTGTCTGTATATTTGCAAAGAGTTAATGTTGTGAATTTTATAATGTATATTTTGATATAATGCAAAATGATTAGTAATGACATGCACTGTGGCATGCCTCATACATACTGAATATATGTTAGTCATTTGCACGCATTATTCAATTTCCTCCTCATAGCCGTCCTCTGTGACACTATTAACCGCTGCTTTCATCCATTTTTCATTCTTATAGTAAAACACTGGAGACAAGCTGGCTTCATAGATATGAGAGGTTTATTTAGCCCACAGTTCCTAGGGTTCAAAGGTATGCCTATGGCATCAACTTGGCTATGGTGAAGACCTCATGGTGTATGGTGTCCCAACAGTATGAGCATACCTAGGAGGAAGTGATCACATCTTGAAACAGGAAGCCAGTGAGAGACTGGAATCCCACAGTTCCTTCTAAGGGCACATTCCTGATTAAAGGACTTTCCATAGGCTCTACCTCTTAAAGGTTCACACCACTTCTGACATTACCATCTTAAAGACCAAACCTCAGCACCTGAACCCAGAGGACACAAGGATTCAAACAAAAACCAAATCACAGCAGCTACTTTCTTATGTTTTGTGTGCATTCCAGACACTGTGAGCCTTTCGTAAGTCCCAGGTCATATAACCATCACAACTACCCAGGAGGAAGGTGGTATCATTATCCCTGTTTTATACCTGAAGACTACAGGACAAAAAAGTGTACAACTTGCATGGTGGTATCAGAGACAGCTCAGAGCCCCAGCAGTTTGGCTCACTTGTCCATCTTACAGCCTGTTACATCTCAGTCACTTTCCTAAGTTCATTTCTGTGTTGTTTGATGCAGCTGCTATTGCACTAACAAGTCCTGAAGCACAAAGTGCAGCACGTTACACAGGGCTGCATGGGGAAGACACCAGGGCAGCCAACAGGCAGAAGGTAGGAGCTGAAGGCCATAGTCCTTACTGGAATGTCCACAAGACATTCAAGACAGGGCAGGGGACAGTTTGGAATAGTATGAATAATTTCTCCTAGCTCTAGCTCATGGGTGTGGTGTCCAGATGCAAGACATCTGGCTCTGGAGTAATTAAGGTAGACCAAATTGCTCCTGTGTGAAGTGGGCTCGAGAGGACTTATGGCTTTGGGTTGGTCAGTTTACCTGTCAGTGGCATGGTCCTGGTCCATACCTTTGCTGTGTCTACAAACTGGCTAGTCCCAGCAAGGGTTATGTCAAGACACCATAATATAGGGAAAAACTGAAACATATTTACTCTACAATGCAGTGTTCAAGGAGTAGAATGTAGATTTAACCTTGGATTATACTCAATAGAAAGATCAGTAAAATTAACCTCTATATTACTAGGAGTAGATTTCTCTGTGTGTGCCTTGATGGAAGGGAGTGTAGGATTACAGCACAAGCATTAACAGGAAACAAGCTTGAACTCAGTAGGATCTCGAGTAGTAAGCCCCTTCTGCCTTCTTCAAACTATGGCTTTAGAACTTAGGAATTTTCCTCTTTTCTTAAAAGGTTATGTTTTTGGAGACCTGTGCTCAGCTTTGAACCCCAAATTTTAAAAAATAGAAAAGGAATTGGTAAGTCAATGTCCATCCCGGTGGGGAGGACCGGGGCCCAGGCCAGGCTGGAGGGGACGCTCAGAGCTATTCCATCTTCCCAGCACAGATATGGCCTCTGGGAGCCTGTAACACTGAAGGTGCAGGACTTGGGGCATGAACAAACTTGGAGAACGTTTCTGATCTTCAGCATTCTTTGTGGGAGCCAAGTAATGTAGATGAAGGCACAGAAATGCTTTCACAATGGTTTCTATGCCCTAGTAGTGTATTGTTATGGCCTGTCCTTCCAGTTCCAGCCTTGACTATCACCATGACAACCACCGTATTCAAAGGGACAGACACAGAAGGAGGAGCTTGGGATATCTGACATTTTTATCTTGTTTCTGGACCTTATTTTGAGCTTTGCTACTCTTTTATGTCCCCCACCATCTGGCCAGGTAATTAGAGCCCTAATATCCTATGTTTACTAATGAAAAGAAGTAGTTTACATTCTTAACCTTTATATACCTCTTCTCTCAAAGTTGGTTTCGCAAAAAAAAAAATAATATCAAACTTTGACATAGTATTTTTTTATTCTTTTACCAGACACAAAGCAAACAATAAAATAATTACTTCAACTCAAAACAACTTGGCTTGATGGAGAAAATGCCATACCCTTGGTGGAGAGTCAGGAACAGGCAGAACTGAATGTTTTCTTAATCTCTTGTAGTTCTGCGGGGTTAACACTGGGCCTCTGTAGCATCCAGTTTCTGCAGACTTCCCATATTAATATGTTTCAACACAAGTCCTAGAAAGATGAGCAGAAACTCTGAGTTTGTTTCACTCTGAAATACAGATGGTGAACTCCAAAGAGCTCTCCAGGAGATCCAGACAACTTGTTCTATATGATTTTAAAGAACGGGAGCAGGAGTCCTTCCTAGAAACTTCTAGGAGGTAGTTTATTATTATTATTATTTATTTAATAACACCATGATTAGAAGAAGCATATCATTACAGCATTAACATATTCAATAATGATTTCCAGAGCAAAGATGCATCTCTTTCAAAAGTGGCTGTAAATTTTTAGGTTCATGGTTGAATTAATACAGTTATACAATATTGAGCTCAGTATAAACCTTATAAGACATAAAACTGAATGAGGTTTTAACTTTTAAAAAATATATCCATTTCATTTTAAAATATACTGTTTCCTACAGAAAAAAACTCATTTTTAATGCTACTGACACTTACATGTTTGCACATGCATCTCTAATCTCTATGTATCTGATTATTACTAGTCATAGTTGGTTCCTTGGCACCTGAGAATGGATATAAAGTCATCAGGTAGATTTCAATGGTAATGTTTTTCACATCTACTAATTATTGTTTTTTAATCATTATTTTTTTA